CTTGACTGAACCCTAGTTCCCAAGCCAGCCAGCCAGCCACAACACCGTGAATTCCTTAGGGAGGTGCCAGTCCCATCTTCTTGAACTTCCCACGCTCCTGTTGGGGGCTAAGAACACATTTATTTCCCTGAGCCTGGCCTTCATAAGTCCATTCCATCACAATTCCGTACTGATTCTTCTTAGAGATATTTTCAGAGGCTGAAATCTTCCAGGACAAATCCTTCTATCTCTGTGACTGCTTTGAATGGGTCTTATCTATTCTGTCTTTCATTCACATCCATTCATATCTTCATACAAATAGATGGGGTAGGACAGTTGTCAATGTAGACCCAGTTGTGTTAATGAATTAATGAATGAGCTACAAATGAATATACTATATGTAATACCTGTCTAGAAACACTGAAGCAGTATGGTCACACGTATGGTCATATATATGTCTAATTATTTCCTTATACTAACAAATACATCTGAACTAAAAAGAGAAAAATCGAGCTGCTTACACTCCCCCGCTGTCCCAGAACTATACTGGCGTATAGGCAATAAATACATTTTGCTAGTAGCAAAAGAATGAAAGGACATCTTAAGTGTGTGTCAATACAGTGCATATATTTTCTAGTTAGTGGGACATGGACAACAGTATGTTTTCTTCAAGGTAGAGGTAATTTCTTGATTAGAAACCCTCGCTTTGCATGCTTGGGTTAAGAGCAGGCTTTAGTTGTGCTTCTGGCATACAGGCCAAAATGTGCCAGAAACAATCCAAATTGTCCCTCCCATTAGCAGAAAGTGTTGTATGTAGCATAGGTAATGATTAAGACTTAAAACCTGGTCCATACCTTCTCTATTCTCTAGTTTGCTAAAAAGTGTCATTGCTAGGACCTCCCCCCACATTGGACATGGAGAGCATATCTTGCATTCCACCAGGTTTCTCCCCTCTCCACAGCCATCTAAGAAACTGGACACCAAGTTTATTGGGCCATTTCTAGTACTCATACATATTGTTCCCATCATCTTTCACCTGCAGCTTCCATCTGATTGAAAATATATACAATCTTCCTCCATTTCCTCCTGGTCCTGGACTGCTCCTTGTGTCCAGTATATAATTTTTCCCCTCCCATCTTCATGCTGGTGGGAAGATGAGTTTGAGGAGGAATCTGTTTTGAACTCCCAGTGCAGGAGGGGCAGAGAGGAATATCTGATTTTGGGGGAGGAATAACCAGATGCACAGAGATCATGGGAAGCACTTCCTGCCTTCTGCAACATTGCACTGGCAATACTCTCACAAAGTCAAGGCTCCAGACTGGCCCCACATTCCAGCTAACAGTTTTGGCTCTGCAGGAGGCAGCTAGCTTGGGGAGGGAGAGAGAGGATGGGAAAGACAGAGGAAGTTATGGTTGAATGCAATTGATGAGTTCCTCAAAAAAGAGAGAAGTGAGGAATTTAAAGAAAGAAAGGCAATGTATGGGTACATGGACCTGGTTGAAGCAGAGGTGGTTGTAAGGATCTTACTCCTTTTATGTGCTCTGCATAACGTTGTTTAGCCAGAAAGGGAAGAGCATGATGAGTATGTATAGATGCATGTGTGAAAAGACAATTGATACAAACAGTATCCACATTCTTTGTGGATACAAGGATCATAAAAATAAAGACTCCTGCAACTTTTTCAACTTCTGATGCCTTCCAGGATACTTCCCAAGAGAGACATGGCTTGGCATCAGCTTCTTCTAGGATGTATTTCAAATTCCCAATCTATTCTACAACCATCACATTTCTTGGTGCTATTCCATCCCACTACTAACCAGGTCCGATCTTGCTTAGCTTTTTCAAGCTCTGCTGAAATCAGCTAAGAGCAGCAACCTGAACTGTTCATAAGGATCTAGGGACAGTCTCTTGTATGCACCAGCATTCCGCAGAAATATTCTCACTGTAAGGAAGCATGAGTGCAACCATGGGAATGGCATGACAGATCTTAACACATCCTACATTGGTGTTAAACTTGTTCCATTCTCTTGTAGCTGAAAGACAATCCTACCTCACTTTCTTCCAAGATTTTTATTTGCCTCTTAGCCAATTGTGGTTATTCATTTCTCTTCAGCTGTAGTCTGCAATTTATCAGCTGAAGCAAGAATTAAAAACAAAAAACAAAACAAGAAAATGAGTGTGAAAGCAACAGAAGTGGCTAGGTTTGTTGTAAGCATTTCAATTTCTCTTTTCTGTCATGTGTCATTCTGGAATACTGAGTGAACAGTGGAATTAATGACAACTATAAACAATAGATTGGCTGAACTACATATTATATATTTGTAGAGGAACACAGATATGACCTTGAAGAAGGTATGTGTGACCATTAGTAAAACATGAGCTTAGCCTAGGAAAACAGGAAATCAGGAGAAAGAAATTCAAGATGCCCTGCCTTGACTCTTCGTTGTATAAAACAGAAAAAAGGGGGAAATGCTATCAGGCTTATATCAACGCAGTAGAGTTCTAGTATTTCTTGTGACGTCTCTTTTCTGACCTGGCCTGCCTTGAAGGGCTGACAATATCAGAGGCATCACCAGGAAGTCAAGATGTGGAAATGATGAAAGCACTGCTGTGCCATTGTGACGCTGCTTTCACTTTTTGATAAGCTTCTGTTCCTGAGGATGCTCCTGTTACATATATCATGTGTAATTGTTCTAATGGTGTTTGTTTATTGACCGTATTTCTAAGCTATCTGTTCCTGGTAAACCAGCCTGTGGCAGTGCTTTAAGAATGCTGCTCTGAGAGTTAATGACTGGCACTGGAGAAATGGAGACTGAGGCAGGAGGTGGCATTGATTCTTGACCCAGGCCACAATTTGATAATTGCAGCTCTCTCTTGACAAACCACTTCATTTTTACAGGATTCCATCAAGCTTGACCCTTGAATATATGCCTGGATTTCCTCCCAAAGGGACAAGGCCTTGACAGAGAGAGCTGTAGTGGGACAGAAAGTGTTGGCCAAGGATTCAAAATTCTTAAAACTTGATTTCTCTTCCTGTCAGAGATAGTTGCTTACATGTGTGCTTGGCCCAGGTGTCTTAGTCCTTGTTTATACACAAATGCTTACAGACTTGCTTTGACTGGTTCATTATTGCTATAATTGTTTATTGTGGTTGGTTGCACAGTCAGCCAGATGTTTAGAGTGGAGTTGGCATTTTTATCCACCTATCGAGTCCTTCCCAAGGTCCTGGGATAGGCACATGTTGTTGTTTGATTGTGATGAAGGTATCATCGCAGGATCTAGTAAAGCTGCCTTTTGCAATTGACTCATGGTGATTTTGTCAATGCAGATGGTCTTCGAGTGGTGCTCCAGATGTTTTGGGACTGCACCTAAGGCGCCTACTACTATTGGTACTATCTTTGCTTTCTTTTGCCACAGTCATCCTACTTCTATTTACACATCTTTATATTTTGTGATTTTCCCCAGATGATGATGATGATTACAAATTGTATAGTGTTCTTCCTCCCAAAGTATGCAAAAGGAACAATAGAAAGGCTTCAATAAAATAATCAATGATAAAAACTGTCTACTATAAAAGAAGACAATGAAACCAATAGAAATATAGCAAACAAAGTTAATTTTCTGTTAAATTAACTTTAGTCTAAAATGCCATCTGGTCCTGAGTAGTTGTTGTTGGACAATTGCTTGGGTGAAGAAGCATGTCATCAGACAGAATGGGGCCATCCATCCTTCTCTCTAACAGGGTTTCATAATTGGAATGCTGCAGTTTATATTACAGTTCCCCAGCTCTTTCTTTAAGGGACCATGGCCTGAATTCAGAGGCCCATTGATCAGAAGACAGTCTTCACCTGCTTTGCTCCCAGGCAAAGGAATGTTTTCCCTCAGGAACAAATTCCCTGTTTACAAATTCTTGAGAACTTAATTTGCCCTGAACTTGCTGCATTGTGGACATATCTCACATCACTGTATTGCTATTTTTGTTTTAATCTGTTCAATTTATCTAGAAAGGCAGAAGATGACATCCATAAAAATAAAACAAATTTAAAAAATCAAATAATGGTGCTAAGAGGTTACTCCTAGCCATAGAATTTGACAAAGTTCTGCTGATTTTAGTTGAATGCCCACTTTTATGCCTTTTAAATATCTTGTTTCAACAAGTACTTGTTACTCTGAAATTTTAAAACTTCTGTATTTACCTAAGACATTTTTATGTGTAGCTATGCAAGAAGTGACTGGAGAACAATTGACTATTGCGCCATGGTATATGATGATATGCTTAATATTTTAATGCCTTCTGAGGACTTTCTTTTGATTTAGCCCCCTTTGTCTGCTATATTGCATTATCCACCTTAAGCATTCATTGTGTGATGAGAAAAACTTACCTTAAATGTATGAACTAAGTAACTTCCTCAGTAGCATCTTCCCTGTTCTTCCTCCTTTCATTTGGAAGATTATATTGAGACTGTTTTGTCTGATGCTGGAATAAATTTCACCAAGCATGTATCCTTTATATCTAGGTCAGCCAGAGAGACAATCCAGCACTGGAGCCTATTATCCATGGGCTGAAGGGGGTTGTACATCATGGTAAGTAGCTTCTTAAAGTTCATTTGGCTAAGAAGAGAAGAAGACCCACAATGGGTCACCTTTTCAAAAGTCATCTTGTTGTATATGTTTCAAGCACTGATATTTAAGGGCATTGAAGCTGTTACTCAGTTACTATAAATCTCAGTCACATTTATTAGCTGAAATAGCTTTGGTCTAATATTAAAAGGGGTCCTTTCTTAGCTTTCATTTGGAATACGTCTATTTCTTTTTGTAAAAAAAAGGTAGGTATGTTATGGTTTCTTATATTTTGTGCTTTCAATTAATATTCTGTTTGCTGAACACTGAACTTGTGAAAATAATTGAAGAATATATGCTTATTTTTTTTTATTTCTTTATGAAGTATTTGTCTTTACAATTTACCAGAGCTGATAATGAAACTTTAATTTTCATAGATAGTTGAAATTCACTGCAAAAGAACATTTTTCCATTACTGGCATAAATGTAACCACTTCTCTTACCCTCATTCACTTGGAATGAGCAGTGAAATAAATACAGCATATCTCAAATTTCTGTTTTGTTTTTTTTAATTAAGAAATATTAAAGTCTTATTACCAGTAATTCACAATTAGTAATTACAGCAAACTGTGTCAAAATCAGCTTTGTCAGATTTTTGATGTAATGATTTGCAGAGTATTAATCATTTCATTACAATTCACAAGGCATTCGCAAGAACAGACTGAGCGATTCTGATGAATCTTCAATTCCATCTAAACACTATTTTCAAGGAGATTGTTTTAGACATTTAGCCAGTGCTGTAGAGCTTAAACATTTTTTTCTTCTTGACCAGAAACCTAAAACCAGTTTTCAGTGTTAGATTAAAACAAATAGGATTCCAAATTAATTGCTTTCCTTTCAGAGCCCTTTAATGTTACATCTGTGAATGCCAGTAAATCTACTGGAAATGAAAAAGAGGGGCTAAATGATAACATAACACCAACTCCTACATTTATGGAATTTCCTGTAGTCTTGTTGCTATGTATAAATTGCAGTCTTCAGCTTCAGATTAAACCTAGATACTGAGCTGAGCACTATGTTGTTTTCTGCAGAAATAGATATTATTATCTAGCACCTACTGGGCAGCAGAAGAATCTGTTAGAAAAAGTGAATTGAGCAACTTTGGTGATTATCTAATTTGATGCAGAAGTAAGACCTACCATTTATGTGACCTGGAATATTTCTTAGTTGTGTCATCCTACCTGTTTTGTACCTGAGGGCTCAACCCACTCCTGGATTACTGGAGTGATTCCATTCCATTTCCATCTGCTGCTGGAATATCTCTTGGTGCCTGTGATGGAATATGAATGTGAAGATGGGGGGAAGAGATGTCGCCTGGGGAAAGATCAGATAAAAGAGAAAGCAATCCACAACAGAGTAACAGGTCTACCTCATCATCTTAAGAAAAAATACCTAGAACATACAGAAATGTGGTTTCTTGCATGTCTTTCTCTCCTTGTATAATGGTAGGGATTTATAATTTCTAAATCCCAGAACTGTCTGCATACATATCAGCCTGGGTGGGAAAGGGATACAGGTAGTCCTCATTTAGTGGCTGCCTTGTTTAGCGACCATTTGCAATTACAATAGTGATGAAAAAGTAATTTTGCAACCAGTCCTTGGATTTATGACCTTTGCAGGTCTTTAAAGCAAAGGAAAGGTCAAGTAAGGTCATAGAAATGTGATGTTTCACTTAGCGACCACTTCATTTAACCAAGTTGCCAGTCCTGATTGTGGATGCTAAATGAGGACTACCTGTATATATTTTGCTTCTTTCTCAGTGGATTTTCATCTCCACAGCAGAGAAAATGACTGCATGAGTTTAAAAACAATTTTTTTCAAATAAAAATCTGAAAATAGGACTGAAAAGACCTCAGTTTAATGTGAAGGTAGTAAAGAGGGAGGATCTAATAAAAGGACAAGCTCTCTTCTTGTTTAATTAAGAAAAAGAAATATGTTCTTTAATTTGGCTGGTTGTAGAGTCCAATAGTCATTGTGGCTGGAAATTATGAGAATTGAAGTCCATTATATTTGGAAGATGCCACACTAGGGCAGACTAATTCTAAGCATGTGGCCAAAGAATTGGCTGGTTGGTTCCCTTTTTGCCCTTTTAGATTCAGATAGTTCAGATGAATAGATAATGTATTTTTTAGAATAAATCAGATTATTTGTTTCTACCACCTGCATTATTCTTTTGAGTCTGCTCTTGTGCATAGGAGGCACCACTCTGGCTACATAATCATTGGCATTCATGCTTAATCACCAGATATACATGGGACAATATTGTGAGCTTCCTGATTTCTGCCAGGTGCTTAAACTCATAATAGACATTTGTTGTATGTTTCTGATGAGAAAGAAGGGCAAAGTAATATATTAAAAAGACTTCAAAACTTGGTAAAAGCCAAAAGTACTAACGTTGTACTTTTTTAGCTTTCTCTGATTTCTTTCTCTTTCTTATTTTATATTAGTTTGCATTAGTTTTTATCTTCCTTTTTTAAAAAATCTTTTATAAAAATTATATAAAAAACTTGGTAAAAAGCCAAATCTTGGAGGATCAGATCTATTTCTTAATTTCTATATGTTGTTAGAGAATCTCATATGCTAGAAATCCCACCAAATTCTGGCTTCTGTTTGTAAGTTTGTGTTCTCATGGAATTGATAGGTTTTGTTATCACGTTACAAGGAATTATAGACATGGCCTCATATAGTTGCAAATAACAGGACTGTGACTAGAAACCCTTTCATATACAAAGTAGGAGAAATTTTATTTATTAATTTGATATTTATTCATATTTTTGACTTTTGTGCTAACCACTCCCATGTGACACTAGATAGTTACAAGGGTTAAAAACACTACAATATAAGCTTATTAAGAAAAGAATAAAAATGATCTTGCCAAAGGGGGAAAAACACAACAATTAAAAACAAGCAATTCAAACTCAGTAATGGGCTCACATAACCTGCTGGACCACTGGCTTTCTGGAAAGAGTCAGGTCTTCAACACTTCTCAAAAGACAGGAGGGTTGAAGCTGTAAAGATCTTGGAGAAAATGTTGTTCCAGAGGAGAAGTGAAATGGCCTGAGAAAGCATGCCTCCTGGGCCCCACAAGATGACACTGCTTAATAGATGCATGTGAAGAACCATGGGTAGGTAGTAGAGGAGAGTGAGTTCAGGTGAGAAGAAACCATGGATCACACATAAAAGAAGCATTTCAAAGAGACTCCACCTTAATTAACTTTATAAGTCCAGCTGGGAATTTATTCTTACAGTTTTCAAGTTAATGTAATTGCTCCAGACCAATATTAAGGATTCTTTCTGAAATGTATGTAGCTCTTGCTTCCTTGATTTGCCACCTATAGGAGGCTTGACCAGATGAGACCCAAAGCATGCCAACCTTCCCTAAGCAAAGGACCAGAATGAGACATGGGTTCAAGTTAACCTCATAATCACGCTCAATTAAGGGGAAGCATTAGGATATTTATTGAGAAGAATTACTTGAATCAAAACTCTTTGAGTAGTTAACAGTCAAATTCAAAGGTTAAAAAAGGATAATAAAAAACAAATTAATCTTAGGTTCTATAAGTAGTTCTCCAAACATAGTACCTTCCAAATCTGTTGAACGTCTATTGCTGTCATCTATAGCTAGTTTGCTGGATTTGACAATGGATGATGGGATTAAAAATCCAGTATATCTGGAGAGTATATCTGAAAGGCTCTTTCATAGTTTCCCTAGTGATTGGGATTTGTTTCCTTCTCTTTACTGCCAGAACAATCTCAGCCAAATAACTGCACTAAATGTGCTGTTTATAAAGAGAGCGTATAACTAGGATATCTCTGAATTTTTTGTCTGTATCAATAGAAGATGGCAGTCTTGTGCCCATATCTTTCTGTCAAAGTTCTCTCACTTTGCTGTGCCCTTTTAGATAATGGGAAAGAATGGTAATGTCAGAATCACATTCTGCAGGAGTGGGAGCTATTTTGGCTAGAGATTTCGTCAGGGATTTGAATTACTGACTAATTTGATGGAACATAAATAATTGCGTCCTTCACACTGTCACCAGCTTAATGATGATAGAGATATGTCAACATAAAAAGATCAGTGCAGAATTAACTGCCACTGAAAAGTTTCTTTTTCTGTTCTCTAGAGATCCATTTCTTAGAATTAAAATGTTGCATAAAGTTTAATTTTCCAAGAAATAGACTATGATCTGACGTTAACAAAAACAGACAATATGGGAAACAATGGAACCAAGATAGGGAAGAATGCTTACAAGGTTTCTTCTCTGTTTTCCTACTTTAGGCAGGTGTTTCTAATTGTAAGCCATTTATCCCCGTGAAATCACTATGGCAGCAACAGTCATTGATTTTAGAGTTCCTTGTATTGTATGGCCTTCCTTCAAAATTATCATGCTCGCTTCTCATGTGTTGTAGATTGTACTCTCTGTGTCTGCTGCACATATATTGATGAGTGCCACTGTGAATGTCCCAAAGTGTTAAAAGCAAATTAGAAACATATGATGAAGCACAAAATGGGCAAGTATGGATTTCCAGTGTGAGACATCTATGTGTTTTCATATCTTCCCATGCCATTATTGTGTTGAACAGAAAACAACATTCCCAGTCTGATAAGGATGAACCAGCTCTGAGTATTTCCCAGTGTACAAAAATGTGGCTTTCAGAGCCCTCACAGTCCTCCAACTTTGTGAGTCCCAGTATGGATGAAATTTTGGAGTGGTAAGGTGTTTTTAAGAGGGAGAATGGTTGCCTTAAATCTTAAAGCACCCAATTGTTACTCTTAAAAACTTTACATACACCCCCCAAAGAGTCAAATCCTGGCCTTGCACATTTTTGGAATGGGATTCTCCATATGACTCACAGAGCCTCTATAGCCCTCAAGCTAACAGAAGTTGTGAATTCCTGCAGGACCTTAATACTGGCTCTGATCAGCCACAGAACAGAATAACCAGCTTTCATAATGCTTTGTC